AGCCTGACCAGCAGTAGGGGAGGCTGGGCCTACAACTCCCAGAAGCCCCTGAGAGGTTTTGGAGCCAAAACTGACCAATAGGAAAAGAGGAGGGCTTGGAATAAAAGATCTGGAGCAGCAGGAAAAGCTGTTCTTCTTCCCAGGGGGCAGAGCCAGAAGGAAGGCTGCTGCAGGGAAGAGATCCTCATCCTGAGGGAAGGGTGAGTAGTCTAGTGCCACTTGGAATAGTGAGCTAGGGACAGTATATATTTAGACCCGTTAGGGCATTTGATTTCTTTTCACCCACTTATTGTTATTATTCTGCACCTTGTTTGTTTGACCTCTTTTAAAATAAACTATTTTCATTGTTCACTCTGCCTGGTCCTCACGCCTGTTATTCAGCCAAAAGGGAGGTCTGAAGGTCTTGGGAGGGTGCTCTGGGCCTTCTCAAGGGATCCTAAATCCAGAGTGGTGGCAGCATCAGGTGACACCCTACCTGAGCCATGACACCTGCCTTGGAACATACTTGTAGACCTCGTGTCATTTTGAATCTTGCCAGAGCTGGGTTGAGCTCCATCTCTAAATAAAAGCGGCCTGATGGGGCCCTAAGAAAGAACAAAGCAACCTAGCTGTGCCATCACCACTCCCCTCTGTGCCATGAGCTGGTGACCACCTCAATCTGAAGAGAGACTTGTACTTTCAAGGAGTATTAGGTCACTAATTCAACTGGTGCAGTTGTCATTTATGCATGGCGGCAAAACTATTTGCTATGTGCAGGGGTCATTTCCTGCGGGAGCACACAGGAGCGGAGCTCCGGCAGTAAGGAGCCCAGGGGGCGGGCACATGCAACAAGCCCCGCCCCCTGCTCCCAGCAGCCCTCAGTCAGAGCAAGAAGCAGCCAGGTAAGTTGCAGAGGCCCCCTGGCCCGCCTTCAGGTACAAGCTCTCCCTCCTCTGTGAGGGCAGATCTGCGCGTGTCCCCTCCCCCAATAACTAGCAATCCAAATAGTCCAGTGGAGCCTGAGCAGTGGGTGTTGCCTTCTGACACACTTCCGGTGATGTCAGGGGGTGTGGCATAAGTTATGCTAATGAGCTCCTGCACCTCTTTTTCTACAAAATGACCCCTGGTTATGTGTATTAATTTTGGTTGTAAGTAGAACAGTACAAGAAGACAGTAGTCTCGAGTGTGATTTGTACAGCACGGCAGATTATTCTGTTTGTTTGTTTGTATAACTGCATTCGATGTATTTCCATTTTTGTGTGCTTGTTCCTCTGCGTGTGTGGCCGTGCCCCTGCGACAGCCGTTTTGTGGTGGGTTTCACCTCCCGTGGCCACCGTGTTGCGGTTGCGCCCACCACCCTGTCAACATTCCAAAGATGCCCACAGGTTCAAAAGGTTTGGGGACCTCTGACCTAGAATACTGCCCCAGAATCCTTTGCAGGACTTCTCGGTTCCACAGCAGACACCCAGGAGGCACTCAGCAACCGAAGCCCTGTGGAAAGAGCTCCCTGAAGGCAGAGCAGTTTGAGAAAGCGGTGTCTCAGGGAAGCGTGGCAGGCAACTTTGGACAAGGACAGCGGGATGCGAGAGTAACATGCAGATGATTTGGCCATCATAGGCCTATCTTGACTTTCTTCCTGGTGACACGAAACCAGACGGGAGTCGCGGAGTTCCGGAGCCACGGTCCCAATCCCACCCCGTCCCACAGGGGCTAACACTCACATGGCCACACGCCCGGCAATGGTGTCTCCGCTTGGTGAGGGCGTTGAAGGGCTCCTTGCACTGCATGCACATGGTCACCTCCTTCTCCCGGATCGGCGTGGGGGCCCGTCGTCCCAGCTCACACCCCTGCAGGCAGAGCGGTGAGCCGAGGAGGTTAATATACGTCTACCAAAAAGTACCCGAAGTCATCTTTGCATTTCTGGGAGCGCAGAACTGCGGACACAGAATCCGGTACAGGTTTTCTGGAAGTTTCCTTTTTAAAAATAACAATCGTCCAGGCCAAGGTCCTCAACGTGGTGCCCGTGCTGCCGTGACACCTTTCCTTGCACCTGCAGAGTGTTTTGACAAAGTGGGCGGAGCCTGGTAGGGCTTTTGCCCAGCAAGACTTTTGATTGGTTATTGGAGATCTGATGACCTGTTCAGATTTTTAAAAACACTGCTTTGGCAGGAGCTGCCAGCAGCACACCAGAATCTTCAAATGCGCGGAATGCACACAGCATCATGTGGCCGTTCCCCTTTAACCCAATAGGATTCCGAGCGCTCTGAAAACCCCGTAAGCGCAGCTAAATTCCGACACAAACTGAAAACTCTCTATACCGGCTCTCTCACACACACCCATGAGTAGCAGAGATTCACGCGCACACACACACGTGGCAGTGACTCACCGGCGAATTGGGTGGCGTCTCGTCCTCGCTGATCAGCTGCTTGAACGTCTCCAGGGTCTGCTCGTGCTTCTGGATTGTCGCCTGGATCGCCTGACGGGTTTTGAACAACAGCGCATTTGTGGCTACAAACAGATGTCTGAACCAAGAAGGGAAGTCAAATCCCGGCCTCTTTTTAGCGGGGAGAGTTCGAGGAGGGAAAGGACAAGTGTCCATGGGGAACCCCTGCGCCTATACTGTCCTCCAATCCCAGTTAATATTTGGAACACACAGGGGGCGGGGTAAAAGGTCAGCCCTTCAGCCCCCTCCCCAAACGCGGGCTCGTCTTCCCCTGCCTTTTCCGCCTCTTCCTCTCGCCTGCACTCGTGTAAATCCCCAGGTCTCTGCAGCCACCAGATGTATGCCTCCTGGAGAGGAGACGACTGAGAGGTGATACGATCACCATCTTCAAGTACTGCGGCTCTCACCCCCCACCCCCCATGAGGAGCAGAGATTCACGCGCACACACACACGTGGCAGTGACTCACCGGCGAATTGGGTGGCGTCTCGTCCTCGCTGATCAGCTGCTTGAACGTCTCCAGCGTCTGCTCGTGCTTCTGGATCGTCGCCTGGATCGCCTGACGGGTTTTGAACAACAGCGCATTTGTGTCCACAAACAGATGTCTGAACCGAGAAGGGAAGTCAAATCCTGGCCTCTTTTTAGCGGGGAGAGTTTGAGGAGGGTTGCCTCAGTGCTTAGTTTCTTGTGGCCCTTTTTTACAGGCCCAGGGAAATGCTGACTGCCACTTTGGGGTCAGGAAGCAATCCTGGAGGGCTTTTTGGTCATCTTCTGGGCATGGAACAATGGTCACTGCAGGTGTGGAGGGGGAGGTCTTTGTGAATCCCCTGCCTTGTGCAGGGGGTTGGACTAGATGACCCTGGAGATCCCTTCCCACTCTATGATTCTAAGTAACTGACCCGCGCGATCCACCCAATGGCATTTAATTTTATTTATTTATGCCCTGCACCCTCTACCGACAGGGGACTCGGGGTGGCTTACAGCATTTGAAATACAATGAACACAAATACGATACAAATAAATACGGTAATGATAAAGCAACAAAACAAAGTTTGTGTCCAGTGGCACCTTTAAGAGCTACAAAGTTTTATTGTGGGCATAAAACTTTTTTTTTTTTTTAATTCTGGGCATAATCTTTATACCCAGAATAAAACTTTGTCGGTCTGAAAAGGTGCCCCTGGAATCAAACCTTGTTCTGCCGCTTCTGAACATCACACCTACCCCACCTCCATCTATTCTATAAAGCGATAAAGCCAATTAAAGCATTAGCTGAAACGGCAAGCCGACCTGAAAGAGTCAAACAACTGGCCAAAACGCTAACCCGGGGCTGCGTACAACAAAGCAGCCTTGCATGCCCTATGGCAGTGGTGGCGAACCTATGGCACGGGTGCCAGAGGTGGCACTCAGAGCCCTCTCTGTGGGCACGCATGACATCGCCCCAGCCAGGCCCAGACCATCGTTAAAGTGTCGAATTCTCTGCCAAATAATTTTAAGTAAATGAAAGCATTTGGGATTGCTTTCCTTACTTTGTTTGGATCATCTTAAGTTAATGTATGAGTTGTTTTTTCTAAAGTAAAACCTCAGAGTTCAGGTTAAATTGCCGTGTTGGCACTTTGCGATAAGTAAGTGGGTTTTGGGTCGCAGTTTGGGCACTGCGGGCGTGGTCTAGGAATCCCGCATTGTGCATGGCTAGTTAAAGAACTGGAGACGTCACAGGAGACAGAGGCAGGTAAAAAAGACTGCGTTCCAGGGCAGGTGGGAAAGACTGGCCGTTACCTGGATCCAATCTCGCTTCTCCTCTTCAGTCCTAAAGAACGACAAAGAAGGCACCCACGTTTCAGAGTTTCGTACCCAGACTAGCACGTTTTCAAAGAGGCATGAATAGAACCTCCATAGACAGTTTCAGAGAGCAGCCAGAGAGCAGGAGAAGAACCCGGTTTGAGTCCAGTAACCCCTCTGACATGGGGCTGCCAAACGCCTGGTCTGGCTGGAGGTTCCCCCCATTTTGGGGGGTTTAATCGGCCGATGGCCAGTTGGCTGGCAGGGGAAGCCCCACCTCTGAACAGGAACGTTGCCGGGCAATGTCACTGTCACAATGACGTCACCAGGAAGTGACGTCATCAGGGGGTGCCGCTCTAGTTTTTTTGCAAACTCTATGGTTTTAAGGGCAAAAACCATAGAGTTTTGCCCCAAAGACTAGAATGGCGCCACCACTCCCGATGTCGACAACACGATATCACTTCTGGGTGACTTCCTGGGCGGGGGGGGGGGGGGGAGTCACACAGATGAGATGATCTCAGACCATTTAGGGCTTTGTAGGTCAAAAACAGCACTCCAAATTGGCATCGGAAGCCGATTGGAAGCCAGTGCAGGTGCTGGAGTATCGATGTTATATGCACAGACCAGGGAGACCCAGTCGGCAATCTAGCAGCTGCACACATACACAACTGCATCATAAGACGCAAGCGTCGTTTCCTGCAGGAGCGCCCAGGAACGGAGCTCCGGCAGTAAAGAGCCCAGGGGGCGGGCACATGAAACAAGTCCCGCCCCCTGCTTCCAGCAGCCCTCAGTCAGAGCAAGAAGCAGCCAGGTAAATTGCAGAGCCCCCCCCCCGGCCCGCCTTCAGCTCTGCCTCCTCTGTGAGA